CATCACTGAATATGTATAGCAAGCTCTTGATAAGAACGACGAAGCTCGAGCTGTGGCTTAGATATCTCGAAGGCGTTTATTTCACAGGGTTTTTGGTCTTCATTGTCATCTCCCGGGCTACGGTATCACCACCTACCTCTGACAAGTGATATTGATTCCGTTTTGCCTGGTTTACCGCTGACATGTTTTAAGTCCATCACTAAATATGTATATGCTCTTGATAAAAACGACGAAGCTCGAGCTGTGGCTCTAGATATCTCGAAGGCGTTTATTTCACAGGATTTCAAAGCTGATCTTCTGTGTCATCTCGGGCTACGGTATCACCACCACTCTCTGACAAGTGATATTGATTCCGTTTTGCCTGGTTTACCGCTGACATGCTTAAGTCCATCACTGAATATGTATAGCAAGCTCTTGATAAGAACAACGAAAATCGAGCTGTGGCTCTAGATATCTCGAAGGCGTTTATTTCACAGGATTTCGCAAGCTGATCTTCTGTGTCATCTCCCGGGCTACGGACTCTCTGACAAGTGATATTGATTCCGTTTTGCCTGGTTTACCGCTGACATGCTTAAGTCCATCACTGAATATGTATAGCAAGCTCTTTGATAAGAACGACGAAGCTCGAACTGTGGCTCTAGATATCTCGAAGGCGTTTATTTCACAGGATTTCGCAAGCTGATCTTCTGTGTCATCTCCCGGGCTACGGTAACACCACCTACTCTCTGACAAGTGATATTGATTCCGTTTTGCCTGGTTTACCGCCGACATGCTTAAGTCCATCACTGAATATGTATAGCAAGCTCTTGATAAGAACAACGAAAATCGAGCTGTGGCTCTAGATATCTCGAAGGCGTTTATTTCACAGGATTTCGCAAGCTGATCTTCTGTGTCATCTCCCGGGCTACGGTATCACCACCTACTCTCTGACAAGTGATATTGATTCCGTTTTGCCTGGTTTACCGCTGACATGCTTAAGTCCATCACTGAATATGTATAGCAAGCTCTTTGATAAGAACGACGAAGCTCGAGCTGTGGCTCTAGATATCTCGAAGGCGTTTATTTCACAGGATTTCGTAAGTTGATCTTCTGTGTCATCTCCCGGCTACGGTATCACCACCTACTCTCTGACAAGTGATATTGATTCCGTTTTGCCTGGTTTACCGCTGACATGCTTAAGTCCATCACTGAATATGTATAGCAAGCTCTTTTTGATAAGAACGACGAAGCTCGAGCTGTGGCTCTAGATATCTCGAAGGCGTTTATTTCACAGGATTTCGCAAGCTGATCTTCTGTGTCATCTCCCGGGCTACGGTATCACCACCTACTCTCTGACAAGTGATATTGATTCCGTTTTGCCTGGTTTACCGCCGACATGCTTAAGTCCATCACTGAATATGTTAGCAAGCTCTTGATAAGAACGACGAAGCTCGAGCGGCTCTAGATATCTCGAAGGCGTTTATTTCACAGGGTTTGGCAAGCTGGTCTTCATTGTCATCTCCCGGGCTCTCTCTAACAAGCGTTATTGATTCCGTTTTGCCTGGTTTACCGCTGACATGCTTAAGTCCATCACTGAATATGTATAGCAAGCTCTTGATAAGAACGACGAAGCTCGAACAGATATCTCGAAGGCGTTTATTTCACAGGATTTCGCAAGCTGATCTTCTGTGTCACGGTATCACCACCTACTCTCTGACAAGTGATATTGATTCCGTTTTGCCTGGTTTACCGCTGACTGCTTAAGTCCATCACGTATAGCAAGCTCTTGATAAGAACGACGAAGCTCGAGCTGTGGCTCTAGATATCTCGAAGGCGTTTATTTCACAGGATTTCAAGCTGATCTTCTGTGTCATCTCCCGGCTACGGTATCACCACCTACTTTCTGACAAGTGATATTGATTCCGTTTTTGCCTGGTTTACCGCCGACATGCTTAAGTCCATCACTGAATATGTATAGCAAGCTCTTTAAGAACGACGAAGCTCGAGCTGTGGCTCTAGATATCTCGAAGGCGTTTATTTCACAGGATTTCGCAAGCTGATCTTCTGTGTCATCTCCCGGGCTACGGTATCACCTGTTCATCTGACAAGTGATATTGATTCCGTTTTGCCTGGTTTACCGCTGACATGCTTAAGTCCATCACTGAATATGTATAGCAAGCTTGATAAGAACAACGAAGCTCGAGCTGTGGCTCTAGATATCTCGAAGGCGTTTATTTCACAGGATTTCGCAAGCTGATCTTCTGTGTCATCTCCGGGCTACGGTATCACCACCTACTCTCTGACAAGTGATATTGATTCCGTTTTGCCTGGTTTACATGACATGCTTAAGTCCATCACTGAATATATATAGCTCTTGATAAGAACGACGAAGCTCGAGCTGTGGCTCTAGATATCTCGAAGGCGTTTATTTCACAGGATTTCGCAAGCTGATCTTCTGTGTCATCTCCCGGGCTACGGTATCACCACCTACTCTCTGACAAGTGATATTGATTCCGTTTTGCCTGGTTTACCACTGACATGCTTAAGTCCATCACTGAATATGTATATCAAGTTCTTGATAAGAACGACGAAGCTCGAGCTGTGGCTCTAGATATCTCGAATGCGTTTGACAGGCTTTGTCAGTCTGGTCTTCTGTGTAAACTTCAGGGCTACGGTTTTACAAAACGACGATTTGATTAAATCCAATCACTCCTTTCAAATTGTGAAATAATAGTCGTTCGGAACAGGCACGCTTCCAGATCCTTTCTTATGGATGCAGGGATCTCTCCAAGTCTTTATCCTGGGTTCTACACTGTTTCTGATCTTCCTGGTGCTATCAGCTCCCAAGTAAGCATCTATGCAGATGACACTACCATTTACTCCTGTCTCACTAGTAAACCTGCCCGCTGCTCCCGAAAAGTGACTTTAATCAGTGGTTAAGTGGGGTAGAAAATGGCTTATAAATTTTAATGCCCCCAAAACGAAAATGGTCTTATTTAGCCACGACAGAGTTAATTCCCTGCCTGCCATTAGCATGATTGATTCTAAGCTCCAGGAGAGTGTCTCAGTGCGCCTTTTTTGAAGAACTACATAGAAACAATAGCTGCATTTACTGCAAGGAAATGTGGCTCACTGTGCCGTGCCAAAAGGTTTTTCTCGTCAGACTCCATCCTACATACCTACAAATCTACCATTCGTCCGCGCATTGAGTACTGTTGCCATATCTGAGCTGTTTCAGCTGTTCATCTCGAGGTTCTCGACAAAATCCAAAGAAGAAGCTGCAATGTAACCAATCCAGTCTTAGCATTTCGACTGCAGTCACTTTCTTACATACATCATGTGGCTTCCTTCTGACTTTTATACAAATATTTCCATGGCTACTCTTCTGTCGATTTTTTTTCCCTGGCGCCCGACTAGCTACATTTAAGCGTGCTACTAGACTGGCATGTAGGTCCCACCCTTTTGCCGTTGAAACAGTTAAATATAACCGCAACTTCTACTCCAACAGCTTCTTACCTCGCACTTCACGTCTGTGAAATTCCCTTCCGTTTACTTGCTTCCCTTGTAACTAAAATCATCAAATATTTAAATACAACGTCAATCGCCATCTTCTGATCTCTTGAAAACTGTTAATCTTTTATCTTTTCCTCATTTGTCCTATACACAGTTTTTTTTTCTCTCATCATCTCTCTATGCACTCCTGCCTTGCTTGGGGTGAAATGCTTAAAAACAGGTCAACGAGTTCAAACTTTTTCAACTAGGATACGCCATGCTACATCGAAGGAGTCAAATCAACATCATTCAAAGCTAAGAAAAAAATCCAAGAGGTAAGGACAACATTTCTCTGTGAGTGTTTTCCCCAAACCTGCTACGTTCTTGAACAGATTCTCGTTTGGACACGTCTACGAGCGCCATGATCTTAACATCACCAGATCAAAGGTCTCCTCCTCATAATATTCACTCCCTAATACTTGTTTCATTCATATCACATACATTATTTATCATAACCCTTATTGCAGTACATACCTACCTTGAGTGTTTCTCGAGCTTTGCATTGTGTGAATCTTAGTTCTTATTGCTACTAACCTTAGTTTTAGTTGGTACACATGTTTAGCTACGCGTGTTTAGGGTACACGTGTTTAAGTTGTTAACCCAGATTTTTTTCTTATTAATAACAACTAGCTTAAATTAGAAAGGCCTGCAAAAAAAAACAAAAAGATTCAACCTCCGATAAAATCGAACCAGCATCGCTTTTTTATAAAACGGTAACCATTTCTTAAGCCGACGCGTGCCTTTACAAGTTCGACCACGCGGCCCAACTAACGAAACAAATTCAGAATTTAAAGCAATAATAAATAATATCGGATAAGAAAAAACTTTTTTTTTAAAATTTGCGCATCTTTGTATAAAAAGATAAAGTGTATCCATGATTACGTTACGTAAAATGGTTGCGAATATTTTTAGCTTTCAAAAAATGTATTATTAACGCTGATAAAAGCGAAAGTATAAAAGGCCGATCGACTTTTATCGGTCATCTGATAAAATTGTCCAATGTCATTATAGCTTGTAGAAAAAATAAATTACCAAATAAAGAATTAATTATTCAGCCTTTTGAAGGTTTTGCGTTGTTGGCTTGGATCTTTTTATCGCTTGCTTCTTTCTTTCGAGGTGAAATGGCCGGTAAATACGTTCTGTCAAATTAAAAGATTTTGCAGGATTTTTTAGCGGGTCTTTATTTTTTGTTATCTTTGTCGAAGCAAATTAGCCAATTCTTAAGGTTCATATAGAATTTCTTTAATTTTAGCACTGATTGAATTTCAATAGACATTCACAGACGGCTCCGAATTTGTGCAAAGTCCGTTTCTTCAAAAGTCGGTATTATATAAATGTTTCTATTAAGATAATTTTCTATTAAGTTAATTTTCTCAGCTTACTATTATGGATGGATTCAATATTGCCTAGTAATCGATACTGAATTACAGTGATGCCGATTCAAATAAAAATCGAAATTATGAGATCACGTTGAAACATTGGTTCCCGTACGATCAACGAAGTTAAGCAATGTCGAAACTGGTCAGTACCTAGATGAGTGACCTCTTGGGAATAACTCCTGCTGTAAGCTTGGATACGTGAAGATGATGAGACAGGTATTTTTTTGGTCTATCGCTCAAATGTACCCCCACAATAATCAAGGGGGCGATGTGGTCGTAGAAATTGTCTGATTGTCATGACTGATTCTCCTGCTTGTCACACCAAAAATGAACTGAAGGTAAGGATGATGGCAGCATTCAACTTAAACAACGCCCTGTCAGCCGGGACTTCAGAATGCGCCGACTGTACCTCTACAAAGGGGTAACCTCCACCCCCATGGGCCGTCCTGGGAATGACGATAAACTACATCCAACTGCAAGGCCTCTGATCAGGACGTTTTGAGGAGCACGGAACCACCTCTTAATTGCTGGTGTTCTCAGATTCGTACTGACCAGGGGTGGTAGCACCTGTTAGGGTCCTAGCCATGAGCAAATAGTTGACCTCCCCGCCAAAACTGGGCTCAAAACTCTATGAAAGAGTAAAAATACGTTTTAATACCAGCAATACTTCTTTCTAAAAAAATTATTACAAGCAATGAATTTTTGAAGGAAAAAAATATTACCAGCAATACTTTTTTTAGGAAAAATATTAATACCAATATATTTTTAAAAGAAAAAATATTACTAGTAATACTTTTTTGAAGAAAATTTATTACCAGCAATACATTTTTGGAAAATATATATTAGCAGCAATACATGTCTGTAAAAATATATACTAACAGCAATACATTTTTGGAAAAGATATATTAGCAGCAATACATATTTGAAAGAAAAATATTACCAGCTATGCATTTTTGAAAAAAATATTACCAGGAATAAAAATTGTGTCGGCATTAAATAACCCATTGAGGTTGATATGCCGTAAAACAAACCAAACCAAATCAATATATACTGAGATAGATAGAACCAATTTAAACAAGGAGACATCCCAGAAGATTATAAGACATTCCGAAGTCGTCTGGAGGATGTGCTTGAAGTCGACGGCGATTTTATTAAATAAATTTACTCTTTAAGTATTTCAAGATATTTTTGTATAATTTTGGTATATCAATTAAAATGAGATGTCAGTGTTATTTTCATTTTTGCGTAAATTAGACGACAATTTTTCCATTACCCTTTTCTCTCCATATATATATATATATATATATATATATATATATATATATATATATATATATATTTAAGTTATGAAAAACTTGGTAATCCGTATGGGTAGTCCCAAGGGGGATGAAATCCTGAGAGCTCAATGTCAATCCAGAGCTAATAATCTAAAGAAGTGTTATCTGATGATCCAGCGTCCTTTAAAAGGGCTCTGGTGAAATAAATTATTATAATGGAACCTTAAAGTGGTATTTTTATATATATTATATATATATATATATATATATATATATATATATATATGCGCGTCTATGTGAATCTGCTTCAAATATGGACTGATAAGATAGAGAACAAGACAAATGAACATGAAACATGATTAAGCAATGAAAATCAAACAAGAGAAAAAAAAAATAATACAAATTCTTTTTTCTCCGCATCTCATTCTCTGATGAAGCTTTAATAAAAGTAAAACATGCTAGATTGATAAATGAAATCTTCAGGCCTCCTCACGATTGCTTTTAGCATAGTCTGTCGCCTCTGAGTGTTGACTTCAATGTTTACTCCTCAATTTTATAATTACATTAAAAGCATTAGTTCTGTTTCATCATCAAGCGAATTTTTTTTCGCTTGAGGATGAAACAGAACTAATGCTTAAATTAAATTTGAAGTTTTTAGCTTCAGTTTTTGGAAACATGGTAATTCCTGCGTAGCGAAGAAACCATATTTTAAATCAGTTAACTTATAATTTTTATACTCTGTAAATTTACATTGGGCACTGTTTTGTAAAAATAAAAAAAAACAATAAGAACACCGGATTATATATCTTACTGTTCTTTCTTTTTATTAAAATATATATATATATATATATATATATATATATATATATATATTTTAAAAAATCTATTTGTTTAAAATTTATTTTTAATGAATATTCATATCTGAGTACATGGTCTGTTTTCATTTATTTCTTAAACAGTTTATTATATTGACTTACATCTACCGGTCTGAATATTCGAGAAATCTTGTTAGTAAAATATCCGTCATCCAACAGGATTCGAACCTGCGTCCGCTAGGAGAAATCGCCATTAGATCTGATGCGCCTTAAACCAACTCTGCCACGTAGGACTTCCAGATTAGTGTCCATGCCTTTGTTTCCATTAGGGGGTTACAAAACAGAACAGACATGTATATTTCGATAATCGAGAAAATATGTGCTCCAAATCCCTATAGTGATTTTCCAAACGTAGCTCCGATGTGGCACAAGGCCGAAAGTAAGGGGTACCCAGTGAGGATCGAACTCACTTCTCACTCTTTATTGTTTTAGCGAGACAAGTTTGTTAACCATTACACCACCTCGTGGTGCCCTGCTCCAACTCCCTATTCGTGCTTTGTCTATGGCATTAATGATTTCTAGTTGATGTTGACTTGAATGTGTTTATCAGTCGACCTGATGTTCTCTAAGATATACCTATACAATATACGGTACCTAACGTAGTGTGTTGCAGGTTGTTTTCTATACAACTCATGTAGAAAGTTATTACGATTAGTGTCTCAATATAGAGGTAAGTTGTGTGATCTTAAGTAATTTTTGGCACGTCCTTGCATGGAGTATTGCTGCCATATATGGTCTGGAGCCCCTTCTGTTTGCCTCCGGGTTCTTGATAGGCTACAGAGGCGGATATGCAATATAATTGGCCCTGCTCTGGCATCTCGTCTACAGTCACTTTCTCACAGACGCGCCATTCACAATCATTTATATTTCTTCTGTTTATCTTTACGGTTATAAATTTTCATTTTTCATCTTTGTCTGCATGTGTCTGTCGTCGATGCAATGATTACAGCACTCATGAATTTGGATTTTTTATTCTTTTTCTTTTCAACTTTACAATGCGAATTCTTGTATCCCACATATCCACAGTCGAAATATTTTTTTGTTCTTAAAAGACATTTTTTCTTGAAATCTAGTTCACCTCATCCGTAACAGGATTTCTGGTTTTGAAAAGTATTTTGTTTTCACATAGTCTTTGGGGCGAACTGAATTAATGTGAGATACATCTCTTTCTTCAATTCTAGCTGTCGTAAGTTCACTATTCTTTGACAATGATCATCTTCAGTTTGCAAGGTCAATTTTGAGTCCTTTTTTCAGCTTAATCAAAATTCTGGAACAGATTTCTGCATCTCTATTTACTGTCGGCCCTTGTACGAAGATCAAGCATTTAAACCTGTTCGCTTAATTTTAACTTTTTACATTTCCTATTTACGATACTAGCATAAGTGGTATAGTGTTCAGATACTTTTTTTACAAGATTTAGGTATTGCCAACATATATTGAACAATGAATTTCTTTCCCTGAAATTTTTTCTTATCAACTAAATAGTTTCTTCAAACGACTATTCACTAGATTACTTTTTCGGCACGATGTAATTCACGTATTCTTCATATTCCGTGATCACTAACTAAACAGGCGCGCTTTTTCTTCTGTTTATTTTTACTGTTATAAATTTTCATTTCTGTTCCTTGTCTACGTTGTGTCGTCGATGCCATATTTACAGTATTTAGAATTTTTTTTTTTTCAACTTTACAATGCGAATTCTTGTGTCCCACATTTCCACAGTCGAAACATTTTTGTTCTTAAAACCTTGAAATCTAGTTCACCTCATCCGTAACACGGTTTTTGGTTTTGAAAAGTATTTTATTTTCAAATAGTCTTTGGGACTGAATTTATGTGAGATACATCACTTTATTCAATTCTAGCTGTCGTAAGTTCACTATTCTTTGACACTGTTCATCTTCAGCTTGCAAGGTCAATTTTGAGTCCTTTTCAAGCTTAATCAAAATTCTAGAACAGATTTCTGCATCTCTATCTACTGTCGACCCTTGTACGAAGATCAAGCATTTAAACATGTCAGGTGTTCGCTTAATTTTAACTTTTTTGATCTTCGTCAGCGTTGTCTGTCGTCGTTGATGCCATGTTTACAGTACTCTTAAATTTTGACTTTTTATTCTTTTTTTCAACTTTACAATGGGAATGCTTGTGTCCCACGTTTCCACAGTGGACACATTTTTTTGTTCTTAAAAGCTGTTCCTCCTGAAATGTAATTCGCCACATCTTCCTAGAACCAGAAAGTATTACCAAATTTTGAAGGACGCCATTTGGCGCCATGATTGTAATTCAGTTCCCTGTAATTATAATTTATCCGATTTGGAAAGAACTTTTTTTTCACTTTTCATTCGTCGGCACAAAAACAGGATAAATCACAATTTACCAAACGTAAACATTAAAAAAAAAAAGAAGCTAAACTTCTACAACTTTTCCAATGGCAAAAATTACACCTTAATTTTGATTCAATTTGGCAACCTGATTCGAGTACAGAATAGAAAACTCGACAAATAATTAATGACTTCAAAGTCATTTTCCCAAATTGCTTACAGCTTTACACAGACAAATTTCTTTTCTCTTTATTAAAAACCTTTGATTTTTTTTCTCACTATTTAAAAAAGATGTCCAAGTAGCAACTGACATCTCGGACATAAATTATGAAACATCTACCACAAAATATTCGTTCATCTTTATAAATACTCAGTAAATGTCAAAACTGGATAATATTTGACGAGAGGAATGCATTTAAATATTTTATCTAAATAGAAAATCAAATTGCTTCTTCCGTTCCATTCTGGTATAAATAATGACACGGTTAATAATGAAAGCAATTATAGAAATCCATTTCAAATAGATATAACAATATAAATAAATAATTTTCAATTATTAAAAAGCATTTTTATTTAAAAAAAAAAACACGGTTTTTCTTCACTCAAATGAACACAGATTAAATCGCTATTTAGCAATGAGATGTAAACATTAAACAGCTCGATGTGGTGAGACAGATCTAAGAAATATATACTAATAAGTATGCATATACCTACGTTTG